TATTCTTGTATTTTGGGGGAACAGTATTTTGTGTACCTGCAAAACTGAAATTGAAATTTCCCATGATGCTGATTTCCTTTGTTAAAGTCAAGGTTTTGGCCACCCACTTTGACCACCACTCACTTCAGTAGGAGTACAGTTAGGTCTTCTGTGGCTTGTATTACTTAAAGAAAAAAGCAGGTTAATGGGCGTTTGAGGTGAGCAGTGCCCAGCTGACCTCTGTCAGATCCTGCCCTGGAAAGGAATTAGGACGTGAACCTGTCAGGAAAGGTTCAGCTACTCTTTTCTTATATTCACAGTGATATTCTACCATGACTCTGGGGTAGATCAGTGGAGTAGATCAGTACCCTTATTTCAAACTTAAATATATAAAGAATACCAAAAGGAGATAATTTCTTATTTCTTTTAGAAATACAGAATATTGTATGCATTCTCTTCCTGAACTTGCATTTGAATCTCATGTAGAGAATATTATGAATTCTCTTATTATATGCCTGCTGTATATGATCCAGTTACGGAGGAATTCATGTTGGGAAGGACAGACAGAGGTTCCCACTCCAAATTCCTAGTACCAGTAAGGTCAGCTATGGGATCAGATGAGGTTAGTCAGGCTTTGTCCAGCATTTTTGATGAAAACCTTCAGGGATGGAGATTGCACAAACTTAATGTTTGTATGTGTTAAAGGCAACTTTGACTTAATAATGCCCAGCTTTACTAAATCTCAATAATTTGAGCCTATCCAAACTGCAATCAATGTTTTTGTTCCTTTCCTTCCAAGAAAAGTGTCAGTAGGACAACTAGCTAATATAAAAGACATTTTTTTTTTCTTAGACTGGATCTTATGAGTGAATTTCCCAGTGCCTCTTGAACTTCTGAGAAGTCAGGGGTTATACTATTCTTCCATGCATGAGCAGGTCTGTAAAGGCAAATTTCTCTTCTCTTTTCAGACAAAGACTGCTGTCCAGGCTCTCATAAGAAAGCACCAAACACTTCCAGGCAACATATGGAAGGCTTTACTGGAGCGATTTGATAAACGTCGTAAAAGCGATTAGAATGCTTATGTTTATTTTGTTGTTTTTACAGCATACAGTAAAAAAAAAATGTCCTACAGCACTGGTGACTAATAGTTGGTGTTCAACCAGTTTAATTTACAAGTTTCTACAGATTTGGCAGAAGAAAACAGTTAACCTCTCGAGAATATCCTGAACTCAGAAAGACTAAAGAAGATGACTTATGTGTAATAGCAATGCAACAGCTAAATTCCCCAAAAGGAAATCATGTAGCCAGGATTTTCTTGGTTCCTAAAACAAGTACATACTTACTCGGAGAGCCTTAGCAGTTTTGTGTAGATCTGTGGTTTTGTGTTTTGAGCAGATCACAGTCCAGTCTCAGAGAAGAACCTCAGAGTCAGTGTTGTCCCACCAGAGACCACTCCACAGTGGGCACCTTCCCTGTTGGACCCCATGCAAGACAGTGTCAGAAAAGAAACTGTCTCACTTTAGCTGATGATCTGCTGCTTAGGCATTTTTCTAGAGACTACACAAAGAGACATAATCCCATTAGAACAGATAATAGACCCCTACAAACACATCAGAATAGTGATTCGAACCCTGAAAAGCAGGACTGCTACATCCAAGACTTTGCCCCCACAAAAGAAAGGTCTCTTTAAGAGAGGAAAAAAAAGCTTTAGTTCAGTGTAGTGCTATGCAAGTACATGCAGAAAGTAGTTTCAAGTTTGATCTGGTACGTGCATGCACTATTGCACCATACCATAGTTGTTTAGTGGATGAGGCTGCCCCCAGTCTGAAAATCCCTGGATGTAGCGAGTGCAGTATGGATGTGCTGTATTTTTCTCCCGGTGAACAGGGAACAGACTGTAGGGGTAGCTTACTTAGGCAATGCAACCCTGAGGCTTATCATCGCCAGTGGTTTGCCTAAAAATGCAGTACTGCAACACTGCTGTTTCCATACGGATTTGACTGAAATGTCTGTTTGGAAAGGTAGACGTAGGCAGTGTTGTCATCCTAATGCAATTTGTGGAAAACTGAAACTTGCTACAAAGCAGAATGTGTTTTTACAGGCTGTGGGATGTTGTTACTGGTGGGAGTGGGAGAATTTTGTGTAATCTATCCAATATACCATTAAATGCAACCAAGTCTGTTAACTTCAAACACCAAGAGAGGTAATTTTTGTGCCTCATTTTTCATTCTTGTGCTTTTAATACCTACATAATCTTTCCCCTCAACATCCTAAAAAGTTACATAGTATCTAAGGAACTGTATACACCATTTGCCCATTTTTCACTAGAAAACTAAATCTACTCTTTGGAGTAGATTTTTTGCACATCTGGAGAAGGGAGCAGGATAGACAGGTGAGTTATTTCCCTGGAGCAAAAAGACAAGAATCCTGTCCTGAAAAAAATCTCAAATCTCTCCTAAGATGTAGGTATTTTTATTTGAACACCTTAGCTATAATTGCTGTATACAGGCAGAAAGATTTTTCTCCCAGCAGAGACTCTACATGCACAGGAAATGATAAACTGAAGCAAACCAAGATGCAGACTGATACACCTGGACAGGAACAGGAATTCAAACCATGAAGTTGTATTACACAACTAATTTCTGTTAGTTGTCTTCTGTCACAGTTGTCTGAAGGGTATTTTCTGGGATCTCAATACGATAGACAAAATTATTATTGAGAAAGAGGAGTGATGTATATGTGATTTTTCTAATAAAAAATTTTAATCAATTTTTTCCAGAAACACTGTAATACTGCTCTAATAATAAGCAGCTACTGTACTATTTTAGTGGATCCCTCTAAATTTTTACTATTTTTAGCACAACATTATAGAAATTAGAACTAGAAACTGATATTATAGAAACTAGGGCTTGCCATACAAATAGAATTGTAATTGCAAATCAAACCACTCCCCTGCTACCCTTATTTTTAGCCTCTCCATCATACAACAAAAAAGAAATTAAAAACAGCAAATGCAAATGACCTGCGCCTGCCTCAAAATGAAATTAACATTTACGACTCTTTTTGGGTATAGTTTGCCCAGTGAATAATGCAGGGAAATCCTATTTTCATAACTTTTTGCATATAAGGTTTATCCAGCTCAAACCACATGCTTTTTTGGGGAAAAATATCCTACTGGTAACACTGGAAAAATAATAAGATCATAGAATCATAGACTATCCTGAGTTGGAAGGGAACCACAGGCATCATCAAACCCCAACTCCTGGCCCTGCATGACAGCCCCAGGAGTCAGACCATGTGCCTGAGAGTGTTGTCCAAACACTTCTTGAACTCTGGCAGGCTTGGTGCTGTGACCAATTAATTGAGTGACAGTGCAAACAGACTTATACAAATGTGCAGCTGAGCAGCCGCAGACGTTGAACAGGCAGATGATGTGAACGTAGAAGACAGCCAGTCGGAAAAGAACGGGAAGCACAGATCTGAAAGAGCTCACAGCCAGTTCTGGCCAGTTCACCTCTGCTAAGTTTGAGGAAGCAGCCATGGTGGAGTTACATGTCGTCCCAGAAGGTAGGGAAGCTACATCAACCTCTGTGTTTGCAGCTGCACCTGGCGCCACTGGAACACTGCTTATTTCTTTGACTGATTTTTATTTTTAATTTATATATAAATCCAGGGATCACATCCAAGTCTGCTGGTCAGTCAGGAATACCTTAACAACTCCGTGAATGCCACGTTCGAAGTGCAAGCCGTCCAGAACGCCAACTGCCTGCAGTGGGAAGGAACGGGTAGTCCTGCAGCGGTGGGTATGAGTGGGTACTCCTGCAGCGGTGGGTATGAGTGGGTACTCCTGCAGCAGTGGGTATGAGTGGGTACTCCTGCAGCGGTGGGTATGAGTGGGTACTCCTGCAGCGGCGGGTATGAGTGGGTATTCCTCCAGCAGTGGTACCAGGTATGGCTGCTGTTGCTGCTGCTCTGGCACCACCGTCGGTGCTGGAGAAGCGGGCTTACACTCACCCCAGGCTGGCAGGTACTGGGAAGGGGTGGCTGGGAAGTGAGTGGTGCTGAAGGCCGCATGGTGAACGGGTGAGACCCAGTATTTTCCAGCGAGCACCGCAGCCGAGTGGCTGAGGGAGCTGGGGTTGTTCAGCCTGGAGAAGAGGAGGCTCAGGGCGGACCTTATGGCTCTACAGCTGCCTGAAAGGAGGTTGTAGCCGCGTAGGGGTCGGTCTCTTCTACCGGACAACCAGTGACAGGACGAGAGGACATAGTCTTAAAATGTGCCAGAAGATTACACTTTGGAATGTGCTGTCCGGGGAGGTGGTGGAGCCACCATCCCTGGAGCTGTTTAAGGAAGGGCTGGACGTGGCACTTAGTGCCATGTTCTAGTTGACACGGTGGTGTTCAGTCGTGGGTTGACCTCGAAGATCCCGCAGTTGTTTTCCCGCCTAATGGATTCTGAGATCCCGGGATCCCGGGCGCCCCGCCCATGCCGCCCGCTCCGCCAGGGGGCGCCTCCCGCCCAGCCCGCTCGCGGAGAGCGCGCGCCCCCTGGCGGCGCCCGCGCGGCTTGCGCCGCGGCGGAAGCGTCGGGCGGTGCGCGCGGGACGCGGGTCCGGGCGGGTCCCGCGCCCCCGGCGGCGCGGAGTTCCCCGCTGCCCACGCTGCCCCCGCGCCCCCGCTCGCTGGGCACCCTCCCGCCCCCGCCCCGCCGCCGGAGCCGCCCCGGTCCCGCCGCCCCGCGGGCACCCGGCCCCCGCGGGGGCGGCGGGCGGAGAAGTAAAACCGGGCTCCGGCAGGGACGCGGGGCCGGAGCCGGAGCCGCCTCCGCCAGGGGAAGGTGAGCGGGCGCTGCCGGGCGCGATGCGGGGGCCTGGCCCGGCTCAGGCCTGGCCCCGCCGCCGCCCCGCGGGTGTCTCCCGGAGGTCTTGGTCACCCCCAGGCTCAGGGCCTGGCTTTGATTCCCGTCGGGACGGGGGCTGCGGGAGCGGGGCGGCCGCGGGCGCTGCGCGGGGGCAGCCGGGCCGGGATCGCGTCCTTCGTGCCAGGAAAGGGGGCCCGAGTCCCCCCACACGCCTGCAGAACGAACATAGTCCCGCCGGCACGGGAGCCAGGCCGGTTCTTGTGCCAAAACAAGGGCTAAACCACGCTGACTTCTAGGATCTCTCCAGTCGCAGGTGCCATTACCAGGATTATCAGGGTCTTTTTTTTTTTTGTTGTTTGTTTTGGTTTTGTTTTGGTTTTTTTTGTTGCTTGTTTGTTTGTTTGTTGGGTTGGTTTGTTTGGGTTTTTTTGTGTATGTTTGTGGTGGCATTGCTGATTCTGGTGGCAGTGCTCTCCGCAGCCGTGTATTTCTGTCGGCAGAGGCACGTCGTAGCTTCTGCTTTGCAGTGCCTTTCTTGTTTGGAGATACTGGAATGTCCTCCAGAGGCTTCCCTTAGGCATTTCGTGTACATGCTGGAATCGTGCTGTGCGTGGTTTACGGCAGTGTGCGTTGCTGTCCATAATTGTTCCTTCTAGCGTGATCAGTAGGGTCTCAGTTAACCAGGATGTGCGGACTGCAGCTGAAGACCACTGTTGTTGTTTGGTTAAGGACTTTTCTGGGTTATGTGCCAGAAGTCAGTGGAAGGAATTGTTGTGTGTTAGCCTTGTTTCCACTTCACCATCAGCGTAAAGCCTTAAGAGTAAGCGTGAGTCAGTGTGTACTGTCGTTAGTCAAATGAGAGGCTGCATCCTTTTGAATGAGTAGAAATGTGTGTAAGCTGCTGTATTAGGAAGTTAGAACTTTTAATATGTAATTTGAACTGCACAACAGCAAGTGTGTCGGTGCTGTCAGTTAAAATACGAATGTGCTCCTATTACAGGGAGATTCTTCCTGTAGCTTGGCTAAAGGTGGGACTTAGTAGTACTACACTTAGTTGTACTGAACCCGTTGTAGTTTTTAGATTTGAATGATGACGGATGTCAGAGAACCTCTGACAGGGAAGGCGGGGTGGTCTCTGCTTGGATGAGGTCCTTTTCAGAGTGAAATTGCTGGTGTGTCTAGAAGACAGTGTGCTTTATCTTGTAATTTTAACTGCTCTGTGCAGTCATAGGGTAGGTAGCTGTACAGTTGGAACAGACCAATGTGTTGTTACCAGTTAGTAGCATATAAGAACCATGTTGAACCTTTGTTCAGTGTGGAGCTCCTGTGCTTTTTTTGGTCATGATCTGCCTTCCCTTCTTCATTGCCATTGCAGCCACATTGCAAGGACCTTACTCCTGCTCTTAAGGAGTGGTTGTAGAGAGGGGGAAGTAGAATCTTTGCAGCAAAGGGACAGGAGGCAACAGGCACAGAGTGTAGTAAGGGAAATTCTAACTAGAATAAAGAGAAACATTTTCACCATGAAGCTATTCAAGCACTGGATTAGGGGCCCAGCTTCCAAAGAAGCTGTGGAATCTCTATCCATGGAGATAATACAAACTGGACTGGATATGGCACTGAGCAACATAATTGAACTCCTTAGAAGAGATTGGACAAGTGCTGTTCAATGAGCCTTTCCAGTGCAAATTATTCTATGATTCCCTTTAGGATGAGTAAACAACACTGTTCAGAGTAGAGCTGACTGTCCCTAAGAGAAGGCAGTACTTTAGATCTTACCTCTCTGGCTGGTAGCACACAAGATGTCAGATTTTAATTTCTGTTCCAGGTTAGCACATAAATATGCAAGTAAACTTTTAAAACTGTGATGATTGCATTTGAGGTATTGCGTGGAACATTATAGGCAAAAGGACACGTAATATTTTTGCAAGCCTGACATGTGTAGACAGGACTTTAAATTTACTTGATGGGGATTTTGGGTTTGGAGAAAGCCATAAACAATTAAAAATATAATCAGTAGGAGAGTACAGTTTAAGTAATCTTTTAAGCTACATAATCACCTCTCAGTTTTGAAAAAATGTTTCTGTGCCATAACCCATGCTCCATATTGTTCTCTAGGTGGTAGGTGGAGCCACTGCAGAAGTCCAGGCATAACAATCTGATAAATATTGTGGTGTTGAATGCTACTCCTAAATCCTGCTTGGTCTCACAAGTTGTGTTTCTTATACTTGCTGTGGGTGTTTGCTGCCTGACAGGTTCTGGAGTTCAGCTCTGGCAACAGGAATGAGAAGGAGCTTTCTCTTGCTCTCTCACGCGCTCACTCTCTCCCTTCCTTTCCCGCTAATGCACACCCCCAAAACACAAGTGCATGAAATCTGTGAAGTGCATGTCACTAATACTATGTGCTTATACACTGCTGAAGATAAATCAACTGCTGGTCACATCGTCATGCTGAGGAGCAAAGAACATGATGAGGAGCAAAATATTATAAGCCTGAATTAGTGGAACAGGCATGGATGGCTGAAGCAAAATCCTTGTAATGAGATCAGCTTTCTTCTCATTAATAGGAGTTATCTTGAGCCATGTGGGTGGAGCCCGATTTCAAATCCAAAGGAAAAGGGACATCTTTGGTCTATGAGAGTGTGAGGGAAAACTGAGATGGGGAAATAAGTGAGATGAGTTCTGGTATAGTACGTGTTTCAACGTCTCATAGCAAATGTGGAGTAAAACTGATCTGCTTCATAACTTTTGTTGTCATTGGGGCTCTGATAGTATCAACAAACTTTCTGAATTTCAGTCATTTGTTGCATGCAAAAACAGAGCAAGAGTAAAGGCATGATTGACATATGTCAGTCTAATATCAGAGCTGTGCAGTCATACATGTTGTAAGTCACATTCTAATAAAAAACTGAACCACAACAACCTTGAGCTTAGATTCTTTCAGAAATATTGTTCTTAATGTGTTTCTCCCTACAATCCTGTGTTGTAGTTGCAACGTGTTTTTCTTCTTGGTCCTGACTAGCAGAATGTCAAGTCTTATCCTAGTCTAGAATAAAGCGGTGGTTAACTTTTGTTTCTCAAGATATTAAGCACTAAAGCTAAAATAGTCAAGCATTCAGGTTGTCTTGTATTTGTAAGATGAAATGAATAGCAATTTTCCCCCTAAATCATACAAAGCTAAGAAAAGTCTTTCTCCAGAGTTATAGAAAGCCTGAAATACCAACCCAGAGAGGTCTAGTCCAGGAACTTCTTAGGAGCTGGCACTGGAGAAGAGAAATCCTTATACACAGACAGAGTAAAGCCAGAGCAGTTAAAACTTTTAGAGGACTTTTTTTTCCCCCATGTCTTTCCTGCTGCCTCTCTGTGTTGTGCTCTGGGTTTTCCAGATACAGTTAAAAGTCTCTCCAAGCCTGAGAGTTTCTTATTTGAGACCATCTTCTTACTAAGGCATTGTATGGTTGTGGAAGTGTTCATTGGGGTTTCTTTTTTACAGCACTGGATTTGAGATTGTTCTGTTTCTTGTTGTAGTTAATGCTTGGGAGAAGGTTTTGTTTTACTATAACAATAAATTAGACTAATCAATACAGCTTTCTGAAAATCGAAAATACAGTATTAATTGGTGTTGCTAACAATATAAATGTTCTGAATCTGTGTAAGTTGAACAGTTTTCAATGAGATAAAATCTTAGCCTGAGATTAAGCTGTTGCACTGTCTTTCTAAATTAGAATTGTCAGCATTTCAAGTACACAAAAGAAAAGGAGTATAAAGATCAAGTAAAAATTTAGCTGCATGATCTGTTATGTTTCTAGTAGGTGCTGCTGGGGTGTTGGGTAAGTGGTATGTGAATAAAATGCATATGTGCATATATGAAATACATATATAAATAAAGACAGGTCTATCTTTTTAGAAGATTTATTCATCTACTTTTTTTTTTTTTTAAACTTGAACAGGAAATGACAGGTGGAAATGAATCCTGTATTGCAGGACCGATACCTATGTCCTACTTAACTTGCCTGACTTACATTCTGCAAGAATGGACTGGCGTGGAGCATATCGGAGATTATCTGAGTTATGCATTCTACCTTGTATGGGTGCTTTTTCCACTTGCAGTAGTTTTTATACTTCCAGGAGTTATTGTTGCCCTCTTCTACATTTCCATTCTCATTCTTCATATTTATAAAAGGAAGAATGAACTAAAGGAAGCTTATTCTCATGATGTTTGGATTGGTGCAAGAGAAATGTTGGCTACCCTATGGGATGGACACGGAAGAATATGGCATGGTAAGCAAGATCTGACTTTCATTAAAACCTGCTGAAGCTCTTATTCCTCATTTACCTTTCAAGATTATCATTATATACCTGATTGTTGCTGCTATTGCATGCTAGGTTTTTTTCTGTTTTATCAATGACTGCCAATGGTGCTTGAGAGAAAAAAAAAAAAGCCATTGAGACTTTTTTTGTATTGTAAAATTTTTGCCTTATGCATTTATTCCTTTGCTGCTACAAATGAGATCTTTCTTCTGGTTAAATATATAGGCTATTTTTAATTGCCTTTTTTTTTTTCTATGTTTTATAACAACCCCTGGATTTTCTCATTTGAAGAAGACCTGAAATGTCCGTTATGTTGAAAATTAGATCAATTATCTGTATTATTTCATAATCAATATATGAAGACTGGAAGTTAAATGCCAGTTCCTTGATAGCTAGTATGTCAGCACATATTAGCATAATTTAATTGCACTTAAACAGTTTTTTACATAAAGTGCCAAGTGAGGGCTAAGAGGAACGCTAAGTGTCAATTCACTCACTAGTTGCTTCTTGAAATTAACTTTAGAGCCTGTTACAGAACTCTACTTTTTTATTTTCTTTCTGTCTCTGTATTTTGGACAGCTACTTTCTCTACTAGAATGTCAAAACTAAGGGCCCTGTTCCTTGTCCTTCTACTACTATTTCTTTATAAAGACAGACTTAATAAATGATTTGGCTTTTCTTTCTAAGGAAATCATAAGTCTCTTTCGGAGCTATTCAGTCTAGATGCAGCTGAAGGAGAAAGAGATGCTTAAGAGCAATTTACATAAAGAACAAATCCTTCTTGAAAATCATCTCTATTTGTTCTCTAGTCAAAGGGAAGCAGGTTTTCAAGGCATTGATAACCAGATGGTGCAGCAGCTGTATCAGATAGGCTTTGTAAGCCTAAGATGTAACTTTCAAATCTAGGAAAGTACACTACATCAAAATCAACAGCTACATCAAAGAGCTTAAAATGCTCACTTCACAATAAAAAGCTATTTACTTTTTTTCATAAGAAAATGATTTTTTTTTTTAAGGCCTTGGCTTTTTTAAACCTTAGTAACTTTTTCTTTTTGTAAGGTCCAACTTTTTATTTTCATGGAAAAGATTCTTATCCAGTCCCTCAATGGCAGCTGTGACTTTTTTCTGCCCTGCCAGCTGCGTCCTTGTTATCTATACACTTCTCTTCCTAAAGAATGAAATGTTTTGCAATTATTTTTTCCCCACTTGATTAATCAGGAAGAGCTTTTAATCCTCAAATATCACAGCATTATTAAAAAAACCAAATGAAAAAAACAACCCCACAACCTAAAAGCCCAAAACCAATGCCCCAAATGGGTGCATGGTACCTGTAACTTTACGTTTATTATGGCAGTGCTGTATGTATGATTGGCTGGCATGGAGCACATTTAGTGGTCACTTGGGGTGGTACAGATGATACACTTGCAATATGCTGCAGCTCCACATGTATACAAAGTAAAACAGAGGGAGAAGAACCAAGCGTACCTTCAGAATTAAAAATAAATTAATGAATAGGAATTGCAAACCTAGTTAACTTTGTAAGTGACAGGGTTTGGTTGTTTTTTTTTGTTGTTGTTTTTGGTTTTTTTCTGTTTATTTATTTTACAAAAACCACGAACAAGATACTGTAACAATACTACTGGATATTAACTGAATATGTTCTATACTGATGCATTTTGATATTTTGTATTAACATATTCTGCACTGTTAAATAGAAATGTAAGTTCAGTAAGAAACTTATTGTGTTTATGTATTTTTCAGCTAAGCATATAATGCCCCAACTAGCTTTTAGTGCTTAGTGATGGAAACCTGGAGCAGGTATAACTTGGATACAAATAGCAAAGATAAGCTTCATACCCTGGAGTAAAAGGAGACATGTAAATGGATGCTGTCATGTCAAATCTTCTTAAACAGTCACTGGTGGTAATGAACTTCAAAAGGTTAATAATAGCTTGAAATAGTTGTTTTACCACTTCAGCCCTTGTTCTGATTTCTCTTGAATGATTGATTCAGAGGACTTTGCAGCCTTGAAGACAGTGAACTGAAAAAATAAGGGAAAATGGTATAGTTCAAGACAGTGAGACTGGATGTTGTAATTTATTTTTTAGTTCTTTCTTTAAGTGTGGCACTTCTACCTTAAATGAAACTTTTAATTTCTATGGAGTAACTTGTATTTCCTGTATATGGTGCGAGTTGCCTCTTGACTAGTGCAAAGGTCACTTTGCTCTTACCACTTCTCAATACCTATAGGTTTCAGCTTGCTATAAGTTAGTTTCTTTAGGATAGATTTACATCAAACTTTGACATCTGTTACACTTTTAACAGGTTATGAGCTTCATGGTGTCAAAAATATTCCTGAAGGACCAGGGCTTGTTGTGTTTTATCATGGAGCTACTCCTGTTGATTATATCTATTTCGTGGCTAGACTTCACGTGACAATGAAGAGACGCTGCTTTGTAGTAGCTGATCATTTCGTCTTTAGATTACCAGGTAACATACTTCATTATAAACAAGCAGTTTTGGAACTGTTACTTTAATTTTTTTAATGGTGTAAACAGTTGTCTCTATTAATCATTAGCAAAGACTTCAATAAGATGTTTCTTTTTTATTAATATAGTCATAATGAGTGGTGTAACCTGATTAACAATTAAACTGTTTAGAATCAATGCCCTTAAAGTTAAAAATACTAGTCTGGAGAGACAGTGTATTTTCTTATCCCACCCAGTTGAGTATGGTGAGCAGGGGAACCTGTCCCCAGGAGGACTGTTTTGAGTAGAATCGCAAAAAGAGGAAAGCTGTAGGTGTGTCCAACATGTTCATGGTGACACATGAGGTGAAGCATCAGGAAAATGAGAAATATCTTTAGGGCAATATTTTGACTGGACTACTGAAATACACTGCTGATGGGTGAAATTAATTATGTGAGGGGTTTGGTTTTTGTGTGTGTGAAATACAGTAGTACCCAGTTCTTTTCCCAAGTTCAGTTTGTGACTAAAAACTTGTCAATTCACAAAATTAATTACAAGGAGTGTTCTGTAGTGTATTCATGCTTTTAGTGGAAATGACTCAGAAAACTATTGTTTTGTCAATAGTTCTATTTCTTAGTCCACAAGATACTAGTATCTTCCTTCAGCCTTAGTCCCTGAAAACAACACTTTCATCCTGATCGCAGCGTGGCTTTGCCTCTACAACTGCTTTTGCCAACAGATTCAGATTTGTGAGTTGGTTATCCAGTCTTTTGTATACAGCTGACCAGTACAGCCTATTTCATAATGCAGACTTGGCTCCATATTGTATCTATTAATACTTATGCACAGTTGTTTATCAGATGGTAGATTATATTGATTTTCTCCATTTCTGCCTTGAAATAAGGTTCTAAGTGTGAGTCCCCCAAATATCATTTAGTAGCATTGCAAGACATCTGACTGAATGGCTGATCTCGAAGAACTGAGTTCAGCAGTACAACATCTACCTAACAGCTGGTTTCTACAGGCGTTCCTGAGGGATTGATGCTGGGATCGCTGTTGCTTAGTGTTTTTATTGTACCCCTGGATGAAGGGTTGGAGGATGCACAGCAAATTCACCGATGATACCAAACTAGAGGAGCCGTCGATATACTGGGGGTTAGAGCTTGTCTTCAGAGAGACTTCACAGAAATGAACGGGCAGAAACCTCATGAAAGTCAGCAAAAGCAAATGTAAAGTTGTGCATTTGGGATAGAACAATTCCATGCAACAGTACCCTGGGTAAAAGGTGGCTCTGCAGGAAAGGACTTTGGCCTTTAGTGGACCACAAGTTGGGTGTGAGTCAGCAGCGTGTGCTTGCAGCAGAGAAGATGAACTGCACGCTGAGCTTTTTTTAGCATGACTGTAGCCACCAGGTTGGGCGAAGGGGTTTTTTCCCTTGGCTTGGCACCTGTGCAAGCACATCTCCCAATATGGTGTCCAGTTTTGGACTCCTCAGTACAGGACACACTGACATACTGGAGTGTGTTCAGTGGATGATGGAGGGCTGGAGCACACAGTGTATGCAGAGAGGCTGAGAGAACTGGATTTGTTTGATCTGTACCAGATCGGGGTGGGGGAAGATATTGTTGCTGTCTTCAACAACCTAACGTGAGGGTGCAGAGAAGAGGGAGTCAGACTCTTCTGACAGGTGCACAGTGGTAGAATGAGAAGCAAGACAGACCAGTTGCAACACAGGAAATTTTGATTAGACATGTGGAAAGGTACTTTACCATTAGAGTGATCAGACACCTGAACAGATTGCTTAGACAAGTTGGGGAATCTGCATCCCTGGAGACTTTCAAAACCCTACTGGGTGAGGCCCTGAGCAGCCTGATCTAGTTGAACCCGCTTTGTGTGGGAGGTTGTACAAGATGACCTCCAGAGCTTCCTTCCAATCTACATAATTCTCTGTTTCTGTGAAGGAATTAAGGCTATTCAAGGAAGACAAACCAAAGAGCCCAGAAAATGTTCTGAATTGTTTAAAAATCTGCGCAGTAATCTATGACTGGCAAGGTAGATGCTGCTTCTCTTGTGAATCAAAGCAAAGAGATTGCATAATTTTGTCCTAGTATTAAGGCTGTCTAATCTTGATTAAATCTTCAGATTAAAGTGGACACCTTTTCAGAAGATGTTTTAACCAAAAGTTATTATGCTCAATGCAGGGGAAATGGGAGAGTGATTTGGGGGTTCTGTTAGACCCACTTGGATTAGATAATTTAATGATTCTTCTTGTTTTATGATTATTAAATCTACTACGAATAGCTGTCAGGAGTGGCTTGTCCCATGACTCTGAATCTCCGGTCCATGCCAGTATGCAGTTGCCAGGGCGCAGTCTCATGGCATCCTCTGCACGAGGCACCGCTGTCCTGAATTAACTGGAGTGTGTTTGTAAAATGTTGCTGTGCCTCTTAAGGGATTCATGAGCCTGCAGTGCATCAAACATGCCTTTCCCTACTACTTAGTCGTGAAAGATATGGCTTGATAATTTATGGAAGGGTTTCTAACCTAGTAGAAGACCTCCTATCTGGAGATTCCTACTGAACATTACCTTCTGTGATTCTGTAATGTGTCTTTCTTTCACGTCATTGCAAAAGGAAATTATTTGATTGTCTCAGTTTATTCTGTGTTGGTATTAAGTATGCTTTTGTTACTTGTATTTTGTGGGAGAAGGATATGAAATATGGTCATGTGGCTTCTTTTTTTACTTTTTCTTTTAATAACTGGAGATTAGCCACAGGGAAAAAACCCAAAACGATATTCCAGGTTTCTGGTTCTTTTGGATTCTTAGCTGTGTAATGCTCAGGAATACATTAATTTTTCTATGGTTGAGCTAAGAGAAAGTCTTTTCCCCAAGAAAATACAGTGAGGGCTAAGATTTCACTTGTGTTCTTTTCCATCACCCTCCCCTATAGTATGGGCTGTATTTGGTTCCTAGAGTCATCTAGGAACCCCTGTTTAAAAGGTTGCCTTCTATTTTGGGGCACTAAGGCAGCCCCTCTCCTGTAATGTCCCAGAGGAAAGGGGCTGTGGCTCCTCATCTGTTACTTTGCAACACCTTATATATGTCTTGTGGACTAGATGCTCTGCAGATATAAACATGTGGTTACCTACAATTGTGGAAGGTTGGATTCAGTGATCTAAATGATTCCTCTCTGTCTGTGGTCCTAAAGGTCAACAACTATGGGAAAAAAGATGACATACTTGCCATCTTGCTACCAGGCAACTGAGAAGCCCTGATGTTACAGTCATTTGGGCTAAGTTAGAGAAAAGTATATGGTGCACATATTGATAGCAGTGTTAAAGGCATTACTGGGTACTCTCCAAAGGGTTTTCAAACATTGATGCAGACACAATATTGTGGAAAATAAAGGAAGAGTATGTTGGGGCAAAGGGCAGAGTCCAAGTTAAACTGTGGAATAAAATTAATTTTGGATTTCTTGCTATCCCAAAGAATTAGCATCCCTTCATGCTCTGGAAGGCTGAAAAATTGTGTTTAGATAATTTTGAGAGTTGTTTTGTTGTTTAAAAGGAAAAATAGATTCTTGGTCACTTACATGCAACAGCCAGGTACTACCCCAGTGTTTTTTCTGACTTCATGATGACCTTTGCCTTGGGCACAGGTAGCCTGGCTGTCCCTTCAGGGCCACTGCACTAATTTCTGTCTCTCTGCTGCTCTGAGGGAGACGGGTTCTTCTTCCTTGCTACTGGAGCAGAGGCATTGATAGTGATGTATGTTCTGCTGCCTAGGTTATGAAGTACAGCTCAGAATATAAAGTTTATACTGAAAGCCAAGGGGGGAAATACATCTGAGAAATTTTGTGGAGACTTGAAACCTCCCCCCACAGCTTTTCTGTAGTACAATTTTTTGCCTGTATTCTGTCTATATTCTGTTCTTTTTTTTTTATTGATCCATGAACTAAACAGACTCGTGATGTTGTTCTGTCACATGCACCTTCCCACCCACCCCTTTCTCAGCATATCCAATGAAGAAAAGAAGGTTGGAGTGTCTTTTCCTGCTCAGCCAACCCTTCAACGGTTTTGTCTATCTCCTGAGCTCACTGATAGGAAGGACTTAGAGACAGGCAGCTTCTTACCACCAAGTACTTTCCGGAGAGCTTTAATTAGTTTGGGAATACAAAACATTGTAAAAACCAGCTGTTGAAGATCCCACAAACAAAGCACCTGAGAGAAATGAATTTACTTCAGGATAACTGTATTTCAGGTGTCCTCTGTGCAAATGCTACTAGAGGAAGATTGCGAATGTCACCAGCAGTGTGCGAGACGGGCACAGCAAAATATGTGACAGGTGTAGTGCAGCTTGTGTTTGTTCTGTTGTCATGTTTGTGGACAGACCATGATTGTGTATAGAGATGAATCAGGGGTAATTATACTCACACCAACAACAAAGACTAGTTAGAGATCAGACTTTAGTTAAGAATAAACTAATGATATGTTGCCTCATGCTTTTCTTCTCAAGCCCTTAGTTTATGCGAGCTGTAAGGGAAGACAGATCTGTCTTCCTAACTGTATTTCTAACACTTCTTCAGCATGTGAGTGTATGTAACAAACGTGTGTTCGTAGTAACAGCTATTAATTTGTTATTGAGAGGCAAACTGGACTAGATCAGTTCTGTTTCCTTGTCTGTGACTGATAAGGTTGTTTGCCTCAGTGGGAAACTTCCAGAAAAAGAAATAATGTTTCCCATGCTGCTCAGACGTCCAAAGTTCCCATTTTGGTATGTAGTACTCAAAAATACTGTATAAATTTGAAATTTATTGAACCAGTTAACAGGACTGATTTCCTGCAAACAGAGGTTAATGCTAGTTATGTCTTTTAATCTTAGTCTAAATTCATCAGGTATGCTCCCATTTGATGCTTGTAAGCAAATTTTTGATGTTCTGCTGTTTCTTGGAGAGTGGGGTCAGTATGACGTTTCAAATTCAAGTTGATAGGAGGAGTTTATGTAACCTTAGGTTAAAAAATTCTGTTATAATATTAACAGAAGATGAATATACCCAATTCAGGCTTGCCAGATCTTTGTATTAAAGGTACTTACAGACTGAGCCAGGTAGTCAAGTGCTGCAGTGATCTGTAATGCAGAGTATGACAAAGAAAATGAATCATTCTCCTTGTGCACAACTGGGCTTTGCCAAAGTTCACAAAACGAAAAAAACACAACGATTTGCTGGTACTGCTTCTCATTGTATTTTATTTGGACTGTGCTACATTTGAACAGTAGAGCTTGAGCAAGGAGCCAGTGCCCTGGAGCCAACTTAAATCCTTTGAAGGGACACCTGAAAGATGTTGCAGTGCCAATTTTTTCCGTTTAGTCCTGACAGTGAGGTATTGCCTCACTTTACTATGACAAAAAGCCACCGAAACCCTAAATCATCAACTTTGCAGACTAAAATCTATAAGCACAACTTAATGCTTCAGTCCCTCTTGGGGACTTGGGGCTACAGCTTGTTAGGCAAATAAGTTTTAGCCATACTGTTGTGTTGGGAATCTGTACTCTGTGGTAGTATGAATGAACATTTTCTGAATTAATATTGTTTTACCCTACAGGTTTTAAGATATTACTTGATGTACATGGAGTTTTACCTGGACCGAGAGAAGCTTGTGTCAGTACTCTGAAGGAGGGCCACCTGTTAGCCATTGCCCCAGGTGGAGTTCGGGAAGCACTCTTTAGTGATGAGATGTACACTATTTTGTGGAGTGATCGGAAAGGCTTTGCTCAGGTGGCCATTGATGCAAAAGTGGTAAGTATGACAGGTCATGGAAGAGAAGCAGAGAATGTTAACTTACTGGTACTTTCTTCCAGGGAAAGCTGTTTTGCTTATCGTATATTTGCTGTTACATTGACTGTCATGGGTATGGTCTACTTGCTCTCATAACTACACTTCAATACTTTTTGTTGCCTTTGATAGATAAGAAGGCTTTAGAGTCAGCTAAAAATAGTGTGGTCAGGAAATACAGAGTTTAAAAGAATGAGAGATGAAATACAGGATGATTTCTGTTACAAGGGTCTGCTGTTTTACACATAACTGGTCAGGATTGTGATGGGTTAACCCCTGACCAGAATGGTTGGGAAGCAACCCTACATCAACATTTCTGTTGCTCCTTTCACTGAAGTATGCTGTGACCCAGTAGAGTATAGACTCACTGGCACTATGCACTGTATTGGCATTTTATAGGAGTAAAATCCAGGGCATAGAGCGGGAGCAGCAGGAGTTCACTGGTGTGAACTGTCCCTTCAGTCGTAATGTATAGCACTGTGCTTGGTCAGCAGGCAGATACTTGTTCATAGGGGACCAACTGTGAAAGTCAGAACAGTGTGTGATACATTTGAATTGAAAGTATTTTAATAATAATTTCAGAGTCCCTCTCATTCTATATTTGTACTTGAAAGGTACATGCATATGTCTGTAGCTTTGCATATACCCAATTTAAAAGTAAGTCTCACACCAAAGTTTTATGTTTAGGTACTGTCAAAGAGAGACTAGTTAAATTTGTGGATTTTATGCAGAAATAGAATACTTTTAAGACTCAAGTGTATGTCGCTTTTCTCACAAGGAAAATAACACTGCTTAAACAGGGTGTTTTCAGCAGGTTTAGATTTTACTAATGTGTTGTAATAGCATGTGAAAGGTCATACCTGAGATTCAACTATGGCTGTACTCATTACATTTATTTTATTGAATGTGTTCGGTTCCTTTTATGCACTCAAAAGGGTGTTGTAGCTTCATCACCCCCCCAAAAAAAAAAACAACAACTGAGAGATGCAGTGAAAAAGGAATAGTGTCAGAGGCAGGCTGAAAGTGGAAAAAATATCTTTATTTAGATTAAAAATGAACTTTAAGTCACCTTGAATTGTAAGCAGAACTCCTCATGGAAAGAAAAATGTGTCTGAAACATCAGAAAAATGTGTCTAAAATCAGAACCTTCAACTCCTTGAAATTGTCTCATTTCAGCAGTTTGTTTGCCAGAATTTTTGTCATATAAGCTAACTTGGTGCATACAAAAATCTCTACTCCTATGTCAAAAGTAAAATGTTCCAAGTAGGATTTTTCTAGAATAAACAAGTTTGTAACCATTCAGGTTATGCAACTGCACTTCCTTTTATTCTCTGTAACTGCATCGTATTATTTACAGACTTTTTTTTTCCCAAAAAAACCCCAATGTGATACCTTTCTGAAAAGTTTCATGTACTAGCTCATCTCCGTGCTTGTTTTTAAAAAGTTTATAAGAATCTGAGTGCATGAAGATCCCATGAAGAGTTCTGTATTTCTGATGATGCTGTGTACAGTGGGTATATGCCATAAAATGATAGTGAAAAACTTCATATAGTAGTTGCCCCCCTCACGGTTCTTGTAAATCTTGACAGCTGTTTGCAGTAAACAAAAACAGCAATAAAATCTTGAAATATTCAACACCATTCCAAGTATTCATCAGCAGAAATAAATCATGGACATGTATGACACATCATGTGTGAAGCAATACCATCAGCGTAGCAGAGACGAATCAGACAAGTTTAGTGTCCTAATCCTGTGAATTCTTCCCTTTGAGCATAACTACAAATTAGGTAAGAGGTTTAAACACTTAAGTCACAACTGTGCAAACACTGCTAGATGGGGGAGGGACTCCTAAATGCTCCATAGGTTCTGAAATTCTGGACTGCTCTGAGAAAATGGACTTGGTGAAACAGTGACTCCTTGAAATCTTGTAGTATTCTCCAGTTTGAAACCTCGTGGCAGAAAGTCACAGAAGAAATTAAGTATACTTGTTTTGCTCTCTATATGTCCTTGTCTGAGACAGTCTTCTGGAATTAATTTGCTTGTTGTGTTTAAGTGAGGTAGAAGATTTTCAGTTAGAGCTATCTTCATTAAATTCTTAATTATTTTTTTTTCCCTCCTAGCCCATCATTCCTATGTTTACACAGAACGTTCGAGAAAGCTTTAGGACATTAGGAGGAATAAGTAAGATATTTTCTATTTTTTTTGTAGTTTCTTTTTGCATATTTGTTTAGTCTGTCTCTGTAGAAATAATTCCCATATAAATTTCAGATTTAACACAGCCTTGTTTCTTGAGGTTTGCTCTCTGTTACAGTTCAGAGATGTTATTAGGATTTAATATCAGCATTAGACGTGGTATTGGCTCATCTAAATTACTTTCCATGTAAGTGTTCCTTTACAGAAGCAGTAGAAGAAAGGAAAAAGGAGCCAGAAAAAGGCAGAAAGATTTACAGCGCTTTTTTCTCTGCTTATATCTGCTAGGCCAACCCTAGGTTTTCTCCTGTCTGTTAAGAAGCAAAGCAAACAGGTTTGCAGCTGGCACATAATTCCTTTAAATGTTCTCCTAAAGCTCTGTACTTACACCTTTTTACCTGTGGTTAAATTTTGAGTGATTTGGACTATTATTTAATCTGTAATTGCTTTACTATTCTGCACTAGACCTGTAGTTCCTTACAAAAACTTGCATTTGCCAGCTCTTTTTCCTCATCTCTGTGGGACTTCCAGACAGAAAGGAATAGGTGGGTCTGTGTCTGAAGCATCCAGCTCTGGGATGATTAGATGTCCACATCTCTGCTCATTTTCTAGTGTTAAATTCCCTTTTTTTTAAACTCTTCAACTTACTATCTAGCAGAAGGGGCCTGAACAGTCTCTACCACACCGCATGTTCTGCCTCAAGTATGGTATCATCACTTTCATTAGAGGATTACAGGAGCAACACAGTTCTGTTTCTCTCCCCTTCTAATTAAGAACTAAATATTGCATGGAGAAAGCCAAGGCATCACATGCAGATGCTCAGAATAATTCACACATTTGTCATGTAAAAAAATAAACAGCAATTAATTTTTGCTGTGTTCAGGAGAATCATCCCAAACAGAAGAAATTTAAGCCAAAATCATTCATGCTCCTTGCATACTACAGCAGAATTGTTAGAGGAATTGAACTCTCTTGATCACTGGAGGCGTTATTCCAGTTTTAGTAGTTTTTGAATACTTGTTTTTATAGATTGTGTACAGATAATTCCACATCTTGATTGATAAGGATTTTCTTATGCCAACACATCAGTTAATGGAATTTCTTGTCTGCAATTGAGAAAGATAATATTAGCAAGCATTATGCAAAGAAGGTCTTCTGGGTACATTCGGGATGAATGCTTAAAAGGTGGCATGTGGCAAAGGTCATGTGTCCTCTTAGAGCTGATTGAAATACCTGTTTTTTCTCTCTTTTTATATTGTTTAACTGCAAGCACTGTGTGATCTGAAAGAGCAATTCAGTGTGTTAGTATGGCTGACCTTTAGGCAGATAAGGCTATTTCTGATTCTCTAGACCACGGTGGGACTGACCAGTGCAGTCTTCCAATACTAAAGCACTTAACTAACCTGTAAAATGAGCTGAACCTGTAACCTGGTTTGCATAGCATTCCTGTCCTCTCCAGACAGGCAGCTGTTGAATTTTTCTCTTCTTCCTTTTTATTTCAGCTACTGTTTGGAGGAAAGATTCCACACCAAGTTAGGGTAGAAAACAAGTCTGATGCTAGCATTAATGCAACTTTTGATAAAATGAAAGTCAAAGGTAGAACAACAATTGAGATGACACATTGTTTTAAAGAGTCTGGTTTGGGGGCTAGATTACAATTTCAATGTTGAGACATATGGGGGAAAAAAAACTTTACAGAATAATCTCTCTCTCTCTCTCTCTCTCTCTTTCTAATCCATTCTCCCCGCTCCTACCTTTCTTTCTCCTGCTTTCCCCTAAATTTTTTTCACATTAGAAATATTGAGGTCACTATATGAACGTATTAGATTGCCATTAGTTCCCCTGTATGGTGGGTTTCCAGTCAAGCTACGTACATTTATCGGAGAACCCATTCCATATGAACCAAATATGACTGCTGAGGAACTAGCTGCAAAGGTAAGATGATATAGATATTTGTTTTGTTTTAAATATTGAATGTTCTGATAGAAAAAACTGCAATAGATTTTTCAAGTGATTTCTGCCTAGGAGCCAGTTATAAAAATTGATGGAATCATGGTTAGTTTTGGACTTGTTTAAGTCTGAATGGCCTTAAATACTATCTTTTTATTACTACAACTTGCAACTGTTCTAGGTCTTCTAAAGTTTATTACACCCTCTATTTGCTTTGAGAAACAACTTGCTTTAAAGACTGAAGAAGTTCAGTCAGATAAGACAGCTCTGGGTTGATAAACAGAGAAGCACTTCATCCAGGAGGAAGTGTTGTGCATCTTAGTCTTTTCAGAAAGATACTGATGAAGCCTTTCAAACGTAGCAAATCTGTGTTCACAAGCTGTTGGAATTTCATGCAATAAAAAAAATGAGATAATTTCACTGCTTTGTTTAGTGTGTTTCTATTTCCTCTAGTTTCTCACCCAACAAATTAACTTTTAAATGTTCAGATTTAGGTACTTTGTAGAAAGGATTGTCAGGTCCTCATGTTCATTCAGTTTATTAAAAGATTTCACAGTGCAAGACATAAACCAGTTAAATGGTGGAGCAGTGAGATGGAGGGGGCTGGAATAGCCATTTTTGAAAGCTCCACAGATGGTCACTCAGAACATTCTGAAAACTTCACTTGAGAGAAGGAGACTTCTTGACTATGCAGGTGTCAGTTTAGTTGTCTCTCCTTGTCTGTTTACCCTCTGATTAGATCTCTGCAAAATGGCTTAAATGTTTATCTTAAATTGTTTATCTGCATTATCTTAAGCCCTGGTTATGGAAAATTGGTTGTTTCTTTTGGGGATTCAGTCTGACAGGACTTCAGAATTGTTGGCTTTCAGGAGAGAGTGTGTATTTCAATGGCTTTCAAACATGCATTGGCATCTTAATTTGTGCCAACCTTCACTTGCTTCTGACTTAAATGCAAATTCTGCTGGAAAAGGCCCCTAGAATGTGACTTCCCTAGAATCCTAATTAGAGTGATTTTTAAAGTTGTATCTCATGTATCATGCTATGGCACAGTATGCATTTTTCAATTTTATATAGAAAAAAATTAAGCTCACTTTTTTTACCTAATGCAAATTTTAGATCTTTGGAAACACTTAGGACCAGATCTATAAAGTCCTTCTCCAGGACTTAACAGCTGATCACGTACTTCATATGAACAGTGGGAGCTTCTACCAACAATCATCTGCCCCTGCTGACCATTGGTTTACAAAGGCAAATAATGCTCTGTTCTGCCTCTGGCCTTAAGAATTCTCTAGTCTGTGCTTCTCTAGGCAGAATAGGAAGGCTACAGTGTGTCCTCACCACAACTTCTGCATAGTGCCCTGCTTTGAATGTTCCCTATAGAGCTTTTATCTAATAAGAATGGCTGCTCTGAACTCCTTGGCTCGGTTGGGTTTTGAGTGAAAGTGAAGGCTGCTGTCACATGCAGCTAAGTGACCTAAGCGTCATTTACAGGACTGGTTCCTTTTGGGGACTTGGATGCAGGGATCATTGCTTCGTACAAGTCAAATGTGCTAAGACACGATGGTGTTTCCAGTGCTGCTTCTGAGGGTGTGTAGAAGGAAAGTTCATGGACACTGGAAGAGTGTTACTGATGCAAACCTGGGTGTTTTACTCTGTTTGTCATTTTATTTTTGTGTATCACTAATAGAGTTTGTGAACTCAGCTACCAGAAAAAAAAGGTACTAGTTTGTTGGTCTGTTCCATGGCAGTGTAGCTGCAATCACATCTTGTGGGCTTAAATATGGAAAAATAGTATTTTGTACTTGCAGTAGTTCTGTGGCATTTGAAAGGATGAAGAAGAGCCTAGAAATTGTGCTAATGTGTGAGCTACGTAAAGATGATGTAATCTGACCAAAACCTTTTCTCTTTCCCTACAGACAAAAGCAGCAGTCCAAGCTCTAATAGAAAAACATCAGAAAATACCAGGAAATATATTTAGGGCTTTAATGGAACGATTTCAAACACATAAGAAAGATGATTAAGGTCTCCTGAACTTAAACTACTATAAACTACTCTTTAGTTATAATATTCTTAAAGTCACATTTGCAAATTATTAATTCTTCTAATAATAGGTTTTAAATACTGTCCTAAAGATACTGCTGTATAATTTAAGGTAGAAATCACTTGCCCTTGCCCTTTCCCCTGTCCAGTATCAAGCTCAGGAACCCAAACTTCAAATCATTCGTAATGGAGCAAAGTTTAATTTTTGATAAATGCATTCCTACCTTGAAAGTGTCTGGGTCATTGTTTTTTGGTTTGTTTTTTTGGAAAGCCTTTGTGTACATGGTCTGTCCTTTTTTTGGTGCGTTGACATCTCTCCCACCCCCCTCACCCAGAGATGGAGTCTTACTGTTTTTATCCTCATTACTGTAAGTAGGTTTTTCAGGCCAGATTAATGCTGTGCAACACGTAGGAAAACTCTCCGTAGGTTGTTACTCTAACACTGGTGAAATACAGTCAACCTTTGGCCTGCAGAACCTCTAGCAATGACTGCAAAACCTGTGCTGGAAAGTGTTTGGTTTTACTGGGTGAGCTCAGAAAGAATTTGGAGAAGTCAAAATTGATTAGAGAACTGCAGTGATCCAAGGAAGTCTGTTACAGAAACCACTCCAATGCAGTGAATGAGAACCCTGCAACACAGCTCCTGTTTCAAGCCAAGCCATATTGGATATCTGCTGTTCACTAGAGACTTGTCCTGTATATTTCTCATTTAATCTACAAATTCTCTTTTGAAAGAATGAGCCAAGCATTTAAATGTCAAGAAGTGGAAATGGGAGTACTGTTTTGTAAGATGAGCTCACAAAGGTTTATTTTGAAGGGAAGAAAAAATGATTACAGCACTCTTTAAAAATAGAAGTTCTTTTGAAAAACAGGATAGACATTCCCAAATAGCCTTTAGATCTAGTATGTGGGTAAAGTGTTAAACATACATATTCTTCAAACAGGTATTTACATAAGTTATTAAATCAGGGTTGAGGTGGAAGTTCTATATACTTTCCTTAAGTGAAAACAATTGAATCAACAGGAAGGAGTTGCAGGATTGGGCTATTGTGCATTTACAGCAAATTGTATTGTTATATTTTTTCTGAACTAAAGCCTGTGCTTTTATTTCCAATTAGGAAATATCAGAAATATTTCTTCTGATTTCCAGCAAGTTTAATCTACAGTTCTTAAATTAACATTTGGGACGGTTTGGGTTTTGGGATGAGGACAAATTCCTTAAGGAAAGACAAAAGAGGTTTTTGCTGTATGACATCGTCTCCTTTCAATATTGTTGGGGCTTGACCTTTTCTTAAAAAACCTCCACGCATGCCCTCTAAAAAAACCCCAACACCCAAATTTTGAAGGAACAGTTGTATTTGATTTAGTATTCGTTCCTCTCACCATTTAAGTACATACATTGCTTTATGCTCCTTTAAATGTTTAAATTAGTGACATTACATAAGTGCATGTGGATGATGCCCTACGTTAGACACTTTTGCATAAAGTGATATTTTACTATCAATTATGGTTTACAGGAAGCAAAAAGCTTACTTATGATATTTTATATCAAAATCATTTTATGTGGTGTTAATTTTTTTTTAAAGTTTTGGGAAGAATCATGTTATACAAAAGCAAATGCCTATTCTAAAGTTTTTTAAATGACTTTGGTTTCATTTGAAGGCAGGATTGTGTTCTTTTTTATTTATGGGTATGTGTTAAAAAATATTAACACAGTATGTCATAAAAAATGATAATGCAAAATTCCTGCATTGGAATATAAATAAAGTATGACCTTTTTTTTAACTGTCCAACTTGAAGAAAATGTGCATCAGTCTATATTGTGAACATCTCAAAGGCAGCTGAACATATTTTGTGTTGAGGTTGCATATATATGTAAAAGAAAACTCAGTCTAAAAGGTTCTGTTAGACATGAACAGACTTTTTTTATCAGAGATTTTGTAAAATTTATTTTACTAAATATGTGGGCTGTTTGCTGCAATTTTGTCCCTTTAAGTATTGAAAGTTGAGTAAAAAAAAATGAAGGGCAGTATTGGTACTCTTTTAAGTGTTCATATTTGTATAGGCCTTTCATATTTATTTCTATATATTAAAAATGTATAGCAGACACCTTTTGAATAAAATTGACAACTGGAATAGACTTTTGAAGTTCTGTGTTGTGTTTGAACTAAATGGAATGATACGTGGCCTGTCCTGCTGAGTCTTCAGTGGCTTTGAGCAGCACATCATACCCTTGAGAAGCCCTTCTTGCCTAATGTCTGCATAGGGGTGGAAGGATCAAAACCTCAGAAGGAATGAATTAAAGGAAAAATAATTCAGACAATGGTGGAATAAAGGACAAAAGTCACATAAACAATAGGGACTAAGTTTTAATAGTTGCAGTCAGTGCTGCAGGAGGCCTTAACAGGCGCTGCAATAACACTTTTTTTAAAGGTTCTGCAACAGAAAATAGGTCATAAATACTGACTGGTAAGGTTTATTTGTACATTTTTAGTGTGTGAATGCCTACTTTATTACATTGAAAAAGGGGGCAGACCTGGAATGAGACTCTCACAAATAAGGTTATAGACCAGGCATCCTTTTAGCTGATTTGGTTTACTGTGCATCAGGCAGAAGTATTCAAAGGAAATTTTAGCAGCTTGAGACTAAACCACTCATTGCCTGGTTAGCCTTTGGATATGCTGAAGACATCACATGTTCTTCTCCATGCGAGCATAAGCAGGGTATGTATTTTTAGGTTGTTTGGAAGTAGACTGACTGCTGTACTGACAGGTATTCATGATTATCTCTCAGCAAGACCCAAATCTCCTACTGGTCAATTTACTGTCCTGTTGTGTAATAGCAGAGCTCAGTCTGAACATCTATTATTAGGATGCTTTCACATGAAATTAATCTCTGCAAATGCAAGGTAGAGCAGTTAATCAGCATTGTCAACACAACTGTGTGGTTCATCCGGTGTTGGGTTTGCTGTACAAGTGTACCATTATGTTGCTTCATCCAATTATTCTGTATAAAAAGATACAACTATGATGACAGTGTGTTAGCTCTAGAGGGCTTAATCACTATTAAGCCCAGCATAGACACAAGAATGCTTTTTTTTGGGGGTAACTTTGCAAGAAAAAATTATGGTACCAAAAGTAAATGTGAAAGTGCATGGAATTGCTACATGAGTGTAGTAGCACTGAAAATACATGTTAAGTAAGATAATTCTGTGAAACACATCTGCTAAAACTTCATGAGGCAATCCAATGACACTTTCTTAGATCTATTCCCTTCACTTTTTTTTTTTAACTCAGAATTAGGCAAAAGAAATGACAGTCTTAAGATTCTGAAGATGATCAGAGGGCTGGAGCACCTCTCATTGAAGACAGACTGAGAGAGTTGGGGTTGTTCAACCTGAAGAAGAGAAGGCTCAGGAGAGAGTTTAGAGCAGCCTTCTAGTACCTAAAGGGATCCTGTAAAAGAGCTGAAGATGGGCTTTTGACAAGGGCATGTAGCAACAGGACAAGGGGCATTGGCTTTAAACTGAAAGAGGGCAGTTTAGATATTAGGAAGAAATTCTTTACTGTGAGGCTGGTAAGGCACTGGACCAGATTGCCCAGAGAAGTTGTGGATGCCCCATCCCTGGCAGTGTTCGAGGCCAGGTGGATGGGGCTTTGAGCAACATGATGTAGTGGAAAGTGTCCCTGCCCATGGCAGGAGGGTTGGAACTGGATGATCTTGAAGGTCCCTTCCAACTCAAGTCACTCAGTGATTCTATGATACTTTTCTCCTCACTCATGGGTTATTTGCAGTATTAGCTTGTCTGCCTTTTTTTTTTTTTTTTCTTTTTTGAGTAATTTTGTTTTGCACAGGTGGTTGCAGATTTATCACTTACAACTTTGAATTTTGTTGCAGCATACATCACATGCATACTGTATGTTGCTTCATGAAACATTTTAAAATTGTTATAATCATCCCTTCATGTCAGAAAATTGGTCAGAAAGATGTAATAAGCTTTGGAACTGTAAGGATAATTTTCTTAAAACCTGAAGTGTTTGCTAACACTTCTCGCTTTTGCATCTGTGTGAAACATTACAAGAAGGTGAGATGCCATTTGGAATTAACATCAGGCTGCATATATAAAGCAGACCCAAAATTTTTTTCCCCGCTGTGGAGCTGAGTTGGCTGTTGTAGAGCAGATCCTTTTCCACCAGGCCTTATGTTACAGCCATCATGAGAGAAAGCCCAGCACTCCCTGTTGTCCATACTAGTTAATGTAATGAGAGAATGCAGCACAATTCATCAAATCACTTTTGGCTCCTGTTTTCTAGCTAAAACCGTGGCATGTGCTGGGAACAAGAGGTGCTGAAGCTCTAACAAAATACAGATGGAAGTATCGCATTATTCAGAGAAGATCTTAAAAGTTTAAAAAATAAAAGTCAAGAAACAGAACCATTTTTACCTAATTCTTTCTAATGGGAAACAGAATGTGCCAAGCATCAGGGAGGATAAGAATTTACAACTTTGTGTCATCTTTACAGGGAATTTGTGGCAGATGAATTGGGATGAGTCCCATTGCAGATGGGGCTGATCTTCATATATTCCAGAGGGGTTTGCTTTTCTACTTCTTCCAGTAGTGTTTTCTTATGGTCAGGTCTACACTTTGCTCAGAGCAACTTATTTTTCTTTCAGTTACTTCCTAAGTGGGAACAGAAATGGAGACCCCAATAAACATTTGTTAGTTCTCTTTTTGATCTATTTGAAGTCTACCAAAGGTATATGGAAGCTTTTCTGAGTTCTTATTTCAACGGCTGTAATGGAGTTGCCAGCTCTACAGACACCTCTTTAAAGTGATTTCTCCTTACCATATAAAAAGCACTCTCCTGACAGATCCACCAAAACTTTTGAAGTGTCCTGTCTATTCAGAAACGAATTAATTTTTTTATGCCTATCATGCAGTGGATTAATTTTCTGAACTAATGGGCACAGCTGTTGCAGGCTTGCTTGGTTAATGTTTTTTACCATAGATTTCCACATTCCAGACACACATTTTGGTAATATCTGGCTTTGTGAGAACAAGCTTAGGGGAATAGACACTGCAACTTGACTCAATTTCTGAAGGCATTAATGAAAATATAAACCAAACTCCACAGCTTAAGCAAGCACACACAAACCCCAGACTACTTTTGGAATTCTGATTCTGCACAATCTTGACTCATGTTTATGGAAACAAAATTTTCTGGCTCTGTTTTTCTCCTTGCAAAATCTGGTACCAGCATAGAAGCACAGCAGCTGTGATGGCATTTCCTGGACTTAAGTTGCCATCTGACTTGAGCAGTGGTGGGGGCAGTTATTTGGGAGGAGTAGGCTTAGGAGAAGACCTCAGCATCGCTCAGGGCCTGTCTGAAGCAAAGTATAACTCAGTAGCATCTAGTGGAAGATGTCTGGTAGTCAATGCTGTATTAGACTTGCTCTTCAGGTAGCAGCACCTCCAGGCTTGCTGCTTCCCCTCAAGAACAAGTTTGTCATCATGCATGCTACCCAGTTCCTCTCTCTGTCACTAGCCTTGGTCTGTAATCTTTCCTGCAGATTCCCCTGCTCCCCATGATGTTCAGGATTGTTCAGGACAAGCCTTGAATGACACTAAAGCTTTGCCTTTGCAAGGGGGCGAAACCAGCTCGAGTGCCTGTGAATCATGTCTCATGGGGGCAGCGTGTGGTGTGGTGCTATGGTGGGGCTGCCTTTGCAGGGCAGTCAGAGGAAGGGGCAGCAGCCAGGCTGGTCCAGCCACCCCAGAGAGTTTTAAGAGGTGCAGCTGGCCCAGCCACCCTGTTTTCAGTGCCTTATGCGCCCTGGAATATCTTTTTCAGCCTGGGTTCTGGCTCAGGTGTGGCTGAACACACACAGGAAGTTAGAGCTGAGGCAGTAACGTGGTTCTGGTCTTTATGCACATCCCACTACTTCCTTTAGGATCCCCACAGAGAGCAAACCTGATAAGGGAAGGCTGCTGTTCTAATGAGTGAGGGAGCTTTGTTTGAAGAACCTCTGGTATTTTTGTCTCATTGTCCAGTATACAAAAATACCATTTCTAGAAGTCAATAAGCTTTCTGCATAGCAGCTGTAATACCTGAACCAACAGACAGTCTTATATGTGTAATTTATCCACCCTTCTGTGCAGCAACGGGATCACACATAGGTCTGAAGTTGTGCTGAACGCACTACTTTCAAGCTGTTTTGGTTACTCCGTGCCCAGTGCTTCATTTGCAAAGCTTTCCTTATGAGCCAGTGGGTATCCAGCTTGACAAGCATTTAAATTTGGAGGATGGCTTTTTTTGCTGTCTGCAGCAAGGTGAGTCAGGAAAGCCTGGCATGTGGGCAGCTATGCACCCACGAGTGCCCAAAAACACACTTCAAGAAAAGATGAGAGTAGAGAGCTGACTTAAAAGGCAGCCAGAAAAATCTCAGCCACTGGAATGCATCAATCTGTTTTTAGTTTCTTAACTCATAATATCTTACCATTAACAGCTACAGGATGAGATACTGTCTGACTTAATTTACACAGCAGCACAGGTAAGTGTACCTGTGTGTGTATGTGTGATGCCCTGTTTCTTTGGTATAAACAAGAGCATGAAACCTACTTCGGCTGCTGTTGCAAGGCAAATAGGAGACCATTATTATTCAATCCACCTGAGCTTTTCAAATGTCAAGATGATATCGCTCATGCTTGCTTTGTCATTATTATGCTTAATCATTTTTATTAGCTGGTGAACCAAGCAATTTTGGTAGATGTGCTGATTTCTAACAGATCGTCCCTTCAAATCATGCAGCAAAACACAGATAGCAAGCAAGTTATTATTTCCACAGCCCAAGCTCCTAATTTTAATGCAGGTCTCTGTAATTGTAGGAACTAAGTCTATAGGAAGTTTTCATCAACGAGGAATTTGTCCACCTCTGAGGAGCTGGGCCCCATTTCCAGTGTCGACAGCATCTGTGTTAGCAGCATGCTCACACTGGGGCAAATAAAGCCAGAAACACTCAGGTTCCAGAATAATGTTTCCATATTTGTTATATTATGTATATATATCGGGATATTCCTAAGCTCCAGAGAAAAAACACAAAGGACTTATAGGTTTCACAATGCGGGAAACTGATATATTTAAATATGA